TGCTTAGCTGCACGATTTTGCTCACCGAACATCTCTTTGAGACTTTCGAGCATATCGTAAGCAGACCCCATAGACTGATGCTGATTTTGCTCACCGAACATCTCTGGGCATTCCTCAGTGATTACAAATTTGTAACATTCAGCAGTTAGGACAATATCACGGTTCCTTTTCCAGTCAACATAATTCGGTCCTTCTAACTTATTTTTTTTCAAAATTGAGGTAAGTGGGTTGAATGAAGACATGGTTAATCTGGGAGATATTCACATTAAATAGATCATTAGTTATGTATTAAGAATGATTAAATTCAAAATTACACATTACACATATAACCATGCTCATTGAACAGTTAGATTCGTTAGGGAAACTTAACTATTCATGCAAAATATATGAGTGATGTCAGATATTAACCCCATAAATTTAAACAGGACCAACTCAGATGGAGAGTAAACTGTTAATTTAAGATAGGTAAATATCACTTTTTATAAAACTCTGGTTTCATTCAATCAACATGTAACTCAATTGGAGAGTTAATACAAGTAATGAAATAACTAGAGGCTAAAGACACAGTAATCATCTATAATGAATTTATCCGATATGGAAGAAGACCTATGTCAACATATAAATTCATTATATTACTTTAGAACCCGTTTAATTTAGGGTTTAGGGGGGTAAAATCCCGTGTTTTGCAATTTGGGCTCTGAAGGTTGCATGTACTGTCGCGGCCCTACCGCGGTTACGCCCGGACCGTGGCCAGAGGGGCCTTCAGAATCAGAGGCAGTGTTCTGCCGCGGTCCTTCCGCGGTTACGCCTGGACCGCGGCCATTTAATACGTGATTTCAGAGAAAAACGTGTTTTGACAGAATTAATCCAAAAATTCTGTATATTAATCCAAAATTACAGAATATCATACAAAACATTCACGTTTTTAACATAGAATAATTATCCGAAACATGTATCAATAAATAACACGTTTTAATATTACTCTATGCATGTTGTATTACATTACCTAGTTAGATGTAAGACGGCTTTGATACCAATTGTTAGAACATGCGCAGCGGAAGCAAGTATTCTTACCAGACATCAATTACATGTAAACTAGACAACGCAATAATAACGATATTAAGAACACTAACCTCTTGAAGTAGTTGCACAAATCTTCCAAGCAGCAAGAATCCAGGGCTGCAGTCTTCTGCTATTTGCCTAGTAAAGCCTTGGACAACTTTGCTTTTGGGTGGGCAAGAACAATACAACTCTAGGGTAGATAATTAGGTGAAACCTGTCTCCCTTTTATAGACTCGAAATTAAGCCCTAAAAAAGAAGCCCAAAATCGTGTAGGATTCTACAAGTAGAATCCTACTCTAACTCAAAAGGGTAACTTTTCTCCCAAGCTACTTTTACCCAAGTCTGTCCAGGTTTTACTAGGTATAGCAGGGACCACAGAAATAATAAGAGGCTACTAATTATAGTACTAATTCGAAATTGGCATGAATTAGATCTTACTATAATTAATTGCAATTTATTCCACTAAAAAACTGCAATTGAACTCCTCAATATGAATTTCGAAAATTCATCAACACTTATTTTAACTCCCCATGTTAAGATTTCATATACCAGTTAATTAAATTAAATCACTGAAAATTTAATTCAATTAACTAATTAAATCCTTTATAATTCCGCTTAAATCATCTCATGTGACGGATACAAAATCCACCGGCCGAGTTTTCACATGAAAACTTATAAGCTTATATAAAGGGGTATCATCAAACCCAAAACCAAGTCATGGATTCTATAAACTAATTATTATTTCACAAATGTTATTTGTTATTGTCCAATTTATTAGGTATATACTAACTCTAAATAGAGTCGTACCTTTTGATAAATCAAAACAATAAATAAATTACATCGATCATAACAATTATATCAAGATTAGGAGTATAAGCTCATTTAATGAATTAGAGAAAATATTTTATATGTATTCAGTACAATAACACCTTTTCTCTACTTGGTCCGTTCAATATACACTGAGTATACTAGCACAAGAAGTTGGAGTAAACCTACTCCCACAATCAAGACAAATTATACAATAATATTGTGCTACAATCATCAAGATATTTTGTCCGATAATATCTTCGATTGTGAACATAGTTTATTAATTATGAGAACCAACAATTTAATCTTCTGTGCATGAGCTAAGACTCCATACACTAAATTGTCTACTACATAATTAAAAGGACACACATGTTACAAATGATCTATTTAAAACAGTGCTTTATTGAATTGAATAAATTAAATAAACAATTGTTTCATAATGAACAAAATATTATACTATGTCTAAACCGCATGGTTAATAGTATATCCCAACAGTTTCTGGATGCATAAGTTGCAACTACCTGTGTCCTATGTGCATGCCCCGCAGACCGAAATTCTCTTCTTTTTTTGTTCACGCAAAAATACAAACAATAAAATACAGTATATGAACTTTGGCATAATATGTAGTGTCACAATAATAACATTTAATTTCCACAAGTGAGGTTTGGAGAGGATATTGTGTATGCAGACCTAGTTACTGTCTTGTGCAGGCAGAGAAATTATTTCCAATAGATCCTCTGCTCAGGCAAGCATAAACACTGCAATTTAGAACAAGAGATGAAGGTTTTTGCAATTATTCCTGATGTACTTTAGGATTTTGCAAATGAAGTGCCATATGAATTCTGAATTCCTACTGAAAGAATCATTAATTTCTTGCTCAGAATCCAAAATTTAAATAATCGAAGTTCTCATGAAAACTTGCATACATTCTCTATCATTTCCCATCACTTGCACCACAACTCACTCATTGTAGAGCAGGGTATATTTGTTTCTTTTGCAGAGCCAAGCATTATTTTACCTCTAAATTTTGATATAGTTTTCCACTTAATAAAAATATGTGAGTAGTACTTGGTAATAAAGTTTAGCTTATACACGGAAGATTAAATTATCGATTCTTATAATTCATGAAGTCTATGTTCACAATCTAATGATGGAATTGGAGAAACCATCGGAATGGTTGTAGCACAAGATTAAATATAATTTATCTTAATTATGGGAATGGTTTAATTCCAACTTCTTGTGCTAGTACATTTTGTATGTATTGAACGGATCAAGTAGAGATAGATATTTTATACTGACTTAATAAAATAATTTCTCTAGTCCACTCAATGTACTTATACTCCTAATCTTGATATAATTATTATTAGTTGTGTATATCATTTATTGTTTTGATTTATTAAAAGGCGAGATTCTTTTGTGGGTCAATTAGCCTGGTAAATTGGATAATAATGATAATTAATAATTAGTTGATAGAATCCATGTCACGATTTTTGAGATTGATGATACTCCTTTATGAAAGCTTATAAGTTTTCATGTGTAAACATGGCCGGTGGATTTGTATCCGACACATGAAATAAGTTAAGTGAAGGTCTAAAGGAAGTAATCAATAAATTAAATTGTCAGTAATTTAATTTGATTGGTTAGTATCTGAATCTTAACATGTGGAGTTAAATAAGGTTTTATGGAAGAATTTCGAAATTGAACTACGTAGTGCAATTACGAATGTTTAGTGGAATAATTCGTGATTTATTATGGAAGAAATTAATTTCAAATTTCGAATTTAATTCCATAATAGGAAGCCTTATTAATTAAATTATGTGGTCTCTACTGTGCCTAAATAATAGGAAATAAAGGAAATCTTTCCTTAGTGGATAAAGAAAAACTAGAAGGTTTTGGAAAAGGGTTTTAACCTAAAAAACATAGCTATATACATGGTATATGGCTGACCGTTTTTACATTGAAAAATCACATATTTTCTTCCTTGAATTTCGCTCACCCGAAGTTCTCTCTTTGCAGATATTAGTTGGGTAACACGGTAGAAGACTGTGGAAGTTTGCTGAGGTCTTGCAACTCTGGGACTGGAGACGGATATTGATTTGCTTTGTTCACGCTTCAAGAGGTAACTCGAATAATCTCCGTATGTGCTAATTGTTTAATTCACACGTGAATATGATACTGTGATTGCTTCCGCTGTGATATATATTCAAATAATTGGTATCAGAGCCTACTCACGTCTAATAAAATAATTAGGATGAACAATAAAATTAGTATTATGTTAATATGCAAGTTTTGAATTACATGCAAAGATTATTTTGGATTCTGTAAAACTGCGTTGTTTTTAACATGAATATTTGTTCTGAATGTTATGATTATTCTAAAAATCATGTAATATGTGCTTAAAGTTGATGATATTTGATTAGAGTAATCTGAAAACTAAATTAATCCATGAAAAACGCAAAAGTCACTATTTGGCCGAATTTGCCAGAAAATCGGAGGTCAACACGTTGACGGACTCCGATTGACCTGAAACTTGGCAGGTCTATGCTAAACGGGCCAGTGAGCAATACACATCAGCTTTGCTCATGATGTAAGCCATTTTTTGGGCTTTCGGGGTCGTTTAGATGGTGTTTTGGACGCTTTATTAATTTTCTGGAAATTTTTCAAAACTTTTTTAAGTTTCTTTTTAATCCAGTGGTGGTAGGGATCGTTTCGTATGGACTCCAGGGTTAAAATTTTAGTGATATTATATTTTTACACGTTGACGTAGGTCTTCTTTCATATCTGATAAACTCATTATGGATAATTACTAGGTTATACTAGTTGTTGATTACTTGTATTTACTCTCCATCTGAGTATGCATGTTTGTTCAATGGAACTAGTATATATATTGAATGTTGATATTCACTTGACTTAACTTAACAATTTACTCTCCATCTGAGTATGGCCAGTCTAAATTCATGGAGTGAATAATCTGTCATTATATATGTATATTGCAAGAATAGCTTTTTCCCATCGAAATTTGTTGTTCAAGGTGCATAGATTATATATATGTAGTGTGTTTTGAATTTTAATATTCTAATAATACATGACTCATTTTGATCTATTTAATTTAATTGTCTCCCAGATTAACAATGATTGCTTTCAATCCCCTTACTACTATTCTTACTCAAAACAAACTTGAGGGTTCGAATTATGTTGATTGGAAACGAAACTTGGATATTGTCCTAATTGCTGAAGAGTACAAATTTGTGCTCGATGAGGTGTTTCCAGAAAAACCTGGAGATGATGCTACGGATGACGAACAAAAAGCTTGCTAGAAATGGGTCAAGGCTGATGAGATGGCGCGGTGTTACATTCTGGCATCTATGTCAAATGTTCTGCAACATCAGCATCAGTCGATGGAGTCTGCTTATGACATTCTGGAAAATCTCAAAGAAATGCTTGGAGATCAGAATCGTGCGGCTAAGCAGACTGCCATGAAAGCTCTTCTAAATACCAAAATGGTTGAAGGTTTATCGGTTAGGGATCATGTTCTGAAGATGATGAGTCTTATAAATGAACTGGAGGTCTTGGAGCTAACATTGATAAGGATGCGCAGGTTGAAATGATCCTGCAGCCTCTGCCTGACAGTTTTCAGTAGTTTCGCCTTAATTATAACATGAACAAAATGGATTTGTCACTTGCGAAATTGTTGAATGAGCTGCAGTCGGCAGAGACTATTATCAAGCAACAAGCTCCTCCTATGGCATTGAATTTTGAGGCAGGTTCTGCTTCTAAGATGAGAGGCGGTCAAAAGAAGAAAAAGACTCAAAAACCCTCTATTGGCGGCGCAACTGCTGGTGTGAAAAAGGCTAAGGGCAAGTGTTGTCACTGCAAACAGCCTATGCATCATAAGAAGCAGTGTCCGACTTATCTGGCCAAGCTAAAAAATAAACCAGGTGATTTACATCTACTTGTCGTTGAAACTCTTTTAGCGGCTGTTTCTACGATGTCATGGTGTGTAGATTTGGGAGCCACTAATCATGTCTGCACTTATCTGCAGTGGTTTCAGGTAACGCGGCAGCAAAGTAGAGGAGAAATCAATGTTTATCAATCAGATGGTTCGGCAACCCAGATTTAGCAATAGGAAACATTAGTATTTTGTTTGGTAGTGTTAGAGTTTTAGCTTTAAAAGACACATTATATGTACCTTCCGTTAGAAGGAATTTAATTTCGGTTTCTAGCGCTATGAGAGATGGTTATGACATTAATTTTCATGATATTGATAAATGTGTTATTACTCATGATAAACGTTATCTCTCTTCGGCTACATTGATTAATGGTCTTTTTGTTGTTGACTATATTCCTAAACCGTTACAACCTAAAGAACTGAATTATGTTAATTTACCAAATAAGAGAAAACGTTCTTCTGAATTGAGTGAAACGTATTTATGACACTTGCGTTTGGGTCATATAAATCTAAACGAATTTCAAGGTTGTTCAAGGATGGACCTTTAAGTCCATTGAAAGTGGAGGCACTACCAACTTGTGAATCTTGTTTAGAAGGAAAAATGACAAAACGAAATTTTCCCTCAAAAGGAAATCGAGCAAGTGATAAATTAGAGTTAATTCATTCTGATTTGTGTGGTCCAATGAATGTCCAAGCAAGAGGTGATTTTGAGTATTTTGTGACTTTCACAGATAATTACTTAAAATATTGATATATCTATTTGTTGCTTTGAAAGTTTGAATGTTTTGAAAAGTTCAAAGAATTTAAGACCGAGACTGAAAAGCAACATAATAAATATATCAAGACACTACGATTTGAACATGGTGGGGAGTACCTCTCTGCGGATTTCATTAGTTATTTATCAGAATGTGGAATTACATCTCAATTATCTGCACCTGGAACTCCACAACAAAATTGTGTAGCTGAAAGAAGAAATAGGACTCTTATGGAAATGGTTAGATCAATGATGAGTTATTCCGATTTGCCTTCGTCTTTTTGGGGACATGCCTTAGAAACAACGAATTATGTTCTGAACTTAGTTCCTTCAAAGTCAGTACCTTTGACCCCTACTGAATTGTGGACTTGGCGCAAGCCTAGTCTGCGGCATATTCGAGTTTGGGGTTGTCCGGCACATGTGCTGAAAGGAAAACGCATAAATTGGAGGCAAGAACGGACGTATGCGTGTTTGTAGGTTATCCAAAAGGGACGAAAGGTGATTTATTCTATTGTCCTAAAGAGAAGAAGGAAATTGTTAGCACAAATGGCAAGTTTCTTGAAGAGGACTATTTGATGAACCATGTTCCTAGAAGTAAACTCGTTTTACAGGAACGTAGCAAAGGAATGGAAACTCAGTCATCTGAAAAACAAAACGACCAGATGCAAACCCCGGAAGTCAATTTTGACATACCATTGCATTTTAATAGTGGGAGAAATGTCAATAGACTTAGTGTCCCGCAAGAACAAGTGCCCGAAGTCATACTACCACAAAGTAGTGGGAGTTATGTTGAGCAGACTGCACAACAGGAAGAAGTCATTGATATCCCTGTGGATAGCATGGAGACTCAGGTTCCTAATGATGATGTGGTTTAACGACAAAATCAAAATGGTGTAGTTGCAACTGATGTAGTGCGTAGTCGCAGTGAGAGAGAAATAAGACAGCCAGTTTGTTATACGCTCTTGGGAGAATCATATGATTGTATCCCCGAGGAGCCTACTTCCGAACCTGTCAATTACGACCAAGCACTACATGATAAAGATGCCGATAAGTGGGTTGCTGCTATGAAATCAGAGATGGAGTCTATGTACTCTAATCAAGTCTGGGATCTTGTAGAACCAGCTGATGGTGTTAAACCCATTGGATGCAAGTGGATCTATAAGAAAAAGAGAGGTGTAGACGAAAAAGTGCAAACTTAAAGCAAGGCTTGTAGCGAAAGGGTTTACTCAGAAAGAAGGGATCGATTATGCGGAAACCTTCTCGCCGGTAGCCATGCTTAAGTCTATAAGGATTCTCTTATCCATTGCTGCTCATTATGATTATGAGATTTGGCAAATGGATGTCAAGACAGCTTTCCTTAATGGAAGTCTTGATGAGTGCATCTATATGATGCAACCAGACGGTTTCGTGAAAAGTGGCAAGGAACACATGTTGTGTAAGCTTAAAAGGTCCATTTATGAACTAAAACAGGCATCTAGGGCATGGAACACTTGTTTTGACAAGGCGATTAAAACTTTTGGTTTTGATCAATGTCTTAACGAGTCTTGTGTATACCAAAAATGGGAAGGGGACAAAGTGGCGTTTTTAATCTCATATGTAGATGACATATTGCTCATAGGAAATAATGTGGGCATGTTGGATTCAGTTAAACAGTGGTTGTTCATGCACTTCGATATGAAAGATTTAGGAGAAGCGGCTCATATCCTTGGGATCAAGCTCTTGCGAGATTGCAAGAAAAGTATATTAGGCTTATCCCGGGCTCTTTATATTGATACAATACTCTCCAGGTTTAGCATGCATGATTCCAAGAAAGGATTTCTCCCTTTCAGGCATGGAATTTCTATCGTAAGATCAGTCTCCTAAAACTGTTGAAGAGATAGAAAAGATGAAGGCGGTCCCCAATGCATCTGCTGTGGGGAGTCTGATGTATGTTATGTTAAGTACTAGACCTGATATCTGCTTTGTCGTTGGCGTTGTTATCAAATTTTAGTCCAATCCTGGGAGAGAGCATTGGACAGCGGTTAAGATATAATCAAGTACCTGAAAAGGACTAGGGATTACATGCTAGTCTACCATTCGGATGAACTTGTACCTATTGGGTACACTGATTCGGATTTCCAATCAGATAGAGATTCTAGAAAGTCCAGCTCAGGAAATGTGTTTACTCTAGGAGGTGGAGCCATAAGTTGGAGGAGCATCAAGCAAACTTGTGTTGTTGATTCCACCATGGAAGCCGAATATGTGGCTGCCTCTGAGGCAGCCAAAGAGGCGGTTTGGCTCGGGAACTGATCACGCCCAACTATGCCTTATAAAAAGGACTAAGCGGTCGCTGCAAATATAATCCGGATTACAAGTCCGGAGTTGAATCCCACAGAGAACTAAGGTTTAGCTACAGATGTTCACTATCACCAAGAAGACAAGCTAACAATTCCTAACTTATAGACATTAAGATTCTTGTGTTTAACTACTTAACTAACAAATTAAAATAGTAAATTAACAACTAACGATACTGAGGGTTAGAGAAAAGATTAAGGAGGTCTAGAGTTATGATTTCCCCTATTGTCGGAATCCTTCTCGCTATGTCTTCTATAATTTCGCCTAAGTATTCTCTACCGATCATGAGCACTCTTATTACCGTAAATCTCTCCCGAGTAATTACGATAATTTACTAGACGCACTCTCCCAAGCTACGCTAGATGGCTTTTAATACAGCTCACTTCAGATCGGACCCAAGGCTTCGTTATCCCTAATCCCACCTTTAAACCCTCGGTTATTGATCCCTCATATACTCTGGGAGTGGTGTTGTTCAATAATTACCTAAATATGCACTCTCTCCCGAGTTATGCATACTAAATAGGCATAGCTAATTGAGAGCTCTTCAACCAACCACAATATAAACGTAGTTGAACAAATAGAGAAAAGATATGGCTCAATTATATAAAAACATAACAAGAATTTATCCTACAAAAGGTTCTATCAAAACTCTAGATAATAAATTAGCCATTCATAATAGTATGTAAAACTACAATACTAAAAGTCATAACCAACAATGAAAAATAGGAAGAGGAAGGAAAAACTCGTAGAAGAATTCTCCACCTTGCTCCCAATGTGTTCTTGCCTCCAAGGGTGTTGTCTAACCCTAAAGTAGTGTCTCTCCGCCTCCTTAGGTCTAATTTGTGTCCAAAATATGTCCTCTCCCTTTCTTGGCCGGCTTCCTTGGTTTAATATAGGGTTTAGGGCTTAAAATCCCGTATTTTGCACATAAGTCCCTGAAATTTCTGCCTCCTGCCGCGGTTTTGCCGCGGTCGCGGTGGAACCGCGGCCAAACATGCCCTCTGATTCTTCAGTTGTCCGCGACCATCTTCTACCGCGGTTCTGCCGCGGTCGCAGTGGATCCGCGGTTTTTCACCCTGTTCCATTTGGAATTTGGAAAAACGTAAAACATGAAAGTTGTAGCCCTTTGAGTTAGCTTTCCAACCATATATTGTGGAGCCCAAATGGAGTTCTGAACAAAAAGTTATGTCTATTTCACTAGACAGTGCACAATATGCCTCCTCAAGTCTTTGTCGTACTTAATTATCAAATTTGACCCCCGAACACGATCCCGGCTTAATTCCTTGAGCTTTTACTCAGACTTCAAAGCTTCAAATCACTTAAATTCATTCCATAACATCTATATAGCTCGGAATCACACCTACAAGGCATAAAACACACAATAGTGCAAAACA